GTTCTGGGTTAGAGCAGGGAACTGGGTGTTAGAACTTCTGGCTTCTTTCCTTTCCTGTAGGTGGGCAGCGGGTCTGTTGGTTAGATTTGGGGATTCCAGCCTCAGCTCTGTAAAGACTGGGAGCTGGTGCTTGGTGAGGCGGGCAAGGGAAAGGAAGGGATTCAGGGAAGCAGGATTCCTGGGTTCCTTTTCTAGCCATGCCACTTCTCCCCTTGGTGCCTTTAACTTCATGCCCCAGGATGGGCCCCAGCCAGCAGCCTCCCTGGCCCCCCACTCTCTCCTCCTGGTTCCGCAGCAGCCCGGGCATGTGGTGTCCCCTCGCACCATAAGAGCCAGTGGGGGCAGCAGCAGCCCCAGCAGCAGCAAGGCGGTGGCCAGAGCCCCAAGCTTGGTGTGTGTGGCAACGAGTTTGCCGGCTCCCAAGCCCGGCCTCCTGTGCAAATGGAGCAGCCACCGCCACAGCAGCACTGACAGGCACCAGGTGTCCTCTCTTTTGAAAGTTCAAATATGGTCACCTTAACACTGGACCTTGGGCTACAAAAGATATAACATCACTCACCTTGTCTCTCTAATGGCTTGCGACCAACATGGCTGCAACAACACTGCATCTAATATACTATATGGTGAAAAATGATATTTATAATGAAAAATACAGATGTACTTTAAAAAGTATGGATAAGCAAAGCATTCTCAGTGGAGGGAATCCAACTATGGAACAAACTTCCAGATGCATTAGGCAAATTCAGAGGCTGACTCTCATTAGAAAATGCTGCAAAATCTTTAAAAGCACAACCACAAGCAGGACAGTCATTACACTGACACAGTTCCTACTGAAAAAAAATGCAAGTAGCAAATAAAACCCTGCAAGAAAAAAGCTTTAAAAATAAAAGTAAATTAATTTTAAAAATTGTAAAAAGCCGCCCTACCCCAAGCAGCGTTTTTACCCTGAGAAGGCAGACGAGCCAAAGACTCCATAAAGACCACTAGGGACTTTGCTGTTACAATTGATTGTACATGGAAAGTACACAGATCTGACAGTGATAGCGATATGAAATTTAAGATAGGTAATGCTTCATAAAAGTTATGGATCTCTGGATTCCTGATGACCTTTACTCAATAAGGGTACGTCTACACTACAGCGCTAGTTCGAACTAACTTAGTTCGAATTAGTTAATTCGAACTAAGCTAGTTCGAACTAACGCATCTAGAACTAAAAACTAGTTCGAACTAGCGTTTTGCTAGTTCGAACTAGTAAGTCCACATTGAGTGGACTCTGAACAGGGCTTAAGGATGGCCGGAAGCAGTGCCGGCAGGGCATAAAAGGAGGACTTAGAGCATGGAGATACTGTCTCAGGCTAGCCGAGGGCTGCGCTTAAAGGGTCCCGACCCCCACCCCGGACACACAGTTCTAAGGGGTGCCCCGCTTGCAAAGAAGTTCTGGCTTGGAGTGCCCTGAGTGCCCACACTGGGCACATCACACCACTCGGCCATCAGCCCGGCTGCACTTGCCGCAGGCTGCCATCTGGGGAGAGGGAGTAATTGGGGGGCTGCAGGAGAGCTTCCACCCCCAGAAGCCCGCAGAGCCAGCCCAGTCCTCCCCATCGGGGGCTCGTACCCCATTCCTCCCTCACCTCCTTCCACTTACCCTTCCCTAGCCCCCCTTCTTATTGATGTACAAAATAAAGATAACGTTTCTTCCAACATTGACTCTGTCTTTATTGAAAAAAACTGGGGGAGACTGGGAAAAGGAGGTGGGAGAGGGGAAGAGAAAGGCTGGGAGAGGGGAGGGCAACTAACATGATCAGGGGTTGGGAACAGGTCCCAGATGAAGAGAGGCTACAGAGACTGGGACTGTTCAGCTTAGAAAAGAGGAGACGGAGGGGGGACAGGATAGAGGTCTCTAAAAGCAGGGGTTGGGTGGAGAGGGTGCATTCAGAAAAGTTCTTCATGAGTTCCCATAAAGAAGGACTAGAGGACACCAAAGGAAAGGAATGGGTAGCAGGCTTGAAACTAGTAAGAGAAAGTTGTTCTTGACAAAGCAAATAGTTAACCTGTGGAACTCCTTGCTGCAGGAGGCTGTGAAGGCTACAACTAGAACAGAGTTTAAAGGGAAGTGAGATCAAGTCATGGAGGTTGGGTCCATGGAGTCCTATTAGCCAGAGGGTAGGAGTGGTGTCCCTGCCCAAAGTTTGTGGAAGGCTGGAGAGGGATGGCACGAGACAAATGGCTTGATCACTGTCTTCGGTCCATCCCCTCCAGGGTCCCTAGGGTTGGCCGCTGTTGGCAGACAGGCTACTGGGCTAGATGGACCTTTGGTCTGACCCAGTACGGCCATTGTAAGCTCAGGGCTCAGGGTCGGGGGTCTCAGTGGACCCCCTTGATTTTCATGCACACCTGGTCCTGGGTGGCCAGGCTGGCAGCTCTCCTGCCCTAGACGGCCACTTTCCTGTGCCTAGTGCAGAGATCGTGGACAAGGTCCATTATGTCTGCACTAGCCCAGGAAGGTGCCCACTTCTTGCGGTCCTGGGCAAGCTCCTGCTAGCTGGGTGCTGGCAGGCTTGCACCTGGCACGGGCACCGTAGCCAGCCCGTGCCCCTTTAAGGGGTCCGGGGCCGGGAGGGGGGCATAGAGTTTCCCTGGTGTTGGCCAGAGTGGCCACCAGGGAAACCTGGGAAGCCTTAGGCTCCCACTAGTTCGAACTAAAGGGCTACACAGCCCTTAGTTCGAACTAGCTAGTTCGAACTAGGCGTTAGTCCTCGTAAAATGAGGTTTACCTAGTTCGAACTAAGCGCTCCGCTAGTTCGATTCAAATTCGAACTAGCGGAGCGCTAGTGTAGCACCTATTAAAGTTAGTTCGAACTAACGTCCGTTAGTTCGAACTAACTTTGTAGTGTAGACATACCCTGCCAGAATAAAATGTTTTCTTTTTCTGAATTACTGAAAAATTTATTTTAATAGGAATGTTCCTTTAAGAAACACTATTTTTTTTATTGTCAGATGCCCTTACTACCGAGGTCTCTGGGGAGATTACTGGTACATGGGTCACAAATGTGAACAACTCTGGAATACTTTGGACTTGATTTTAGTAACTGTACTTCCTGCAGTAGCATTGGCTTTCCTGGTTGGTGTAATTATACAGTGTGTTTACTACTGTAAAAACAAGTCAAATAAAAGCGATAAAAGATCTAGGTAAGTATTATGTAAAAATACATAATTTCACATAATTAAATGTTTTTTCTGATCAGAGAAATTAATCTAGAAATAATTAACTCCTTATTTCCTGCATACATTGAATGACTTCAGTAGAGGAGCCTAATTTTTTACAAATCAACTAAAAAGATCAGTGTGGAAGAGTTATCCAAACTTTGTGTGAAGTGTAAAGCCAAAAAAAAAAATCCTGGCAATTGAATTTTATTTGCAGCCTCTAGTAATTTAAATTAATTGTGATTAATCGCAAGATTTTTTTAATTGCAATTAATCACATTTTAATCGCTTTGTTATTGATGGAATACTATTTATTGAACTATTTTTGGATGTTTTCTACATTTTCAAAAATATTGATTTAAATTACAATTACAATACAGAATACAAAATGTACAATGCTCACTTTCTATTATTTTATTACAAATATTTGCACTGTAAGAAAAAGGTAGCATTTTTTAGTTCTCTTCACCCAAGTACTGTAGTGCAATCTCTGTATCATGAAAGCCCAACTTACAAATGTGGAATATTTTTAAATAACTGTACTCAAAAATAAAATAATGTAAAACTTAAGAGCCTATAAATCCACTCAGTCCTACTTCTTGTTCAGTCAAACACTAAGACAAACAAGTTTATGTTTATGGGAGATAATGCCTGCTTCTTATTTGCGATAACACCTCCAAAAGAGTAAAGGCAGTTGAATGACGCTAGTGTAGCTGGTATTGCAAAGTATTTACCTTCCAGATATGCTAAATATTTGTATACCTCTTCAAACGTTGACCACTATTCCAGAGACATGTTTCCATGCTGATGACAGGTTCTGCTTGATAACAATCAAAAGTAGTGGAAATACACATTCATTTTCATCATCTGAGTCATATGCCACCAATAGAAGTTTGATTTTCTTTTTTGATGCTTTGGGTTGTATAGTTTCTTCATCTGTGTGTTGCTTTTTAAAGACAGTTGACAACATATCATCCTTCTCAGATTTTGGAAGGAACTTCATATTCCTAAATTTTAGGGTGATGGCTGTAGCTATATTTAGAAATCTATTCTCATTTTTAGGTGATGTTGTAAATAAGAAGCAATTGGCTGATCAAGAAGTAGGACTGAGAGGACTTGTAGCTAGAGGCTGTGTCTACACTGCACCCCTTTTCTGGAAAAGGGATGCAGATGAGACAAGTCAGAATTGCAAATGAAGCGGGGGATTTAAATATCCCCCGCTTCATTAGTATAAACATGGCTGTCGCTTTTTTCCGGCTCGGGGCTTTGCCGGAAAAAAGCGCCAGTCTAGACGGGGATCTTTCGGAAAATAAAACCTTTTCCGAAAGGTCCCTTATTCCTGATTTTAAGAGGTGTACCGGTAGTTCGGAATAGGAATCCTAGTCCGAACTACCTAGTTCGAGCCCCATGTAGCCGCGCTGCACGGGGTTCGAACCAGCGGGGTTTTAAAAATGGCGGCTCCCCGCTTATGCAAATGAAGCCCGGGAAATTCAAATCCCTGGCTTCATTTGCAAGTGCGGTATGCCTACATTACCCTCCTAGTTCGAACTAGGAGGGTAGTGTAGACATACCCATAGTTACCTCAAGTTTAGCAAGGCCTTCATTTCCCTCCCCCAGAGGGACTCTATTTTTGCCCTTTTCCAGTCTTTTGGAATCTTGCCCGACTTCCATTACTTTTCAAAGATGATAGCTAATGACTCAGATACCTCCTCTATCAGCTCCTTGAATATTCTGGGATGCATTTCATCAGGGCCTACTAACTTTTCTAAGTAATTTTTACTTGTTCTTTTCCTATTTTAACTTCTAAACATAACCCATTTTTCACTAGCATTCACTATATTAGGCATTCAGTCACCACCAACCTTCTTGGTGAAAACCGAAACAAAGAAGTCATTAAGAACTATTTCCACATTTTCTTTTATTGTTTCTTCCTGTTCATTGAGCGATCAGCCAGCCCTATCTTGGGTCTTTCTCTTGTTTCTCATATACTTGTAGAATGTTTTCTTGTTACCCTTTATGTCTCTAGCGAGATTGAACTCGTTTTGTGCTTTCATCTTTCTAATTTTGCCCCTACATACTTTGTTAAATGCTTATTGTCATCCTTTGTATTTTGACCTATCTTCCACTTTTTACACCACTCCTTTTTTATTTTTAGATAATTTAAGATCTCGTGGTTAAGCCAAAGTAGCCTCATGCCATACTCCCTGTCTTTCCTATGCAATGGAATAGTTTGCCCTTGGGCACTTAATAATATCTCTTTGAAAAACTGCCAACTGTCTTCAATTGTTTTTTCTTTTAGTCTTGCTTTCCATAGGATCTCACCTACTAGCTCTTGAGTTTTCTAAAGTCTGCCTTCCTGAAATTCATTGTCTTTATTTTGCTTTTCGCACTTCTACCATTCCTTAGAATTATGAATGCTAAGATTTCATGATAGTGATAGAAATGTAGCCGTGTTAGTCTGGTGTAGCTGAAACAAAATACAGGACTATGTAGCACTTTAAAGGCTAACAAGATGGTTTATTAGATGATGAGCTTTCGTGGGCCAGACCCACTTCCTCAGATCAAATAGTGGAAGAAAATAGTCACAACCATATATACCAAAGGGTACAATTAAAAAAAATGAACACATATGAAAAGGACAAATCACATTTCAGAACAGAAGAGTGATGCAGGGGGAGAGAAGGAAGGTGAATGCCTGTGAGTTAATGATATTAGAGGTGGGGAAGGGTAGATGTCTGTGAGTTAATGGTATTAGAGTTGATAATTGGGGAAGCTATCTTTGTAATGGGTTGTTCTGAAATTTGATTTGTCCTTTTCATATGTGTTCTTTTTTTTTTTTAATTGTATCCTTTGGTATATATGGTTGTGACTATTTTCTTCCACTATTTGATCTGAGGAAGTGGGTCTGGCCCACGAAAGCTCATCATCTATAAACCATCTTGTTAGTCTTTAAAGTGCTACATAGTCCTGTATTTTGTTTCAGCTACACCAGACTAACACGGCTACATTTCTATTACTACTCTTCCTTTGTTTCCTGTGCTTTCTCACTTCCTTCATGGGAATATCTGGCATCCCTCTTCTGTTCTGAAATGTGATTTGTCCTTTTCATGTGTGTTCATTTTTTTAAATTGTATCTTTTGGTATATATGGTTGTGACTATTTTCTTCCACTATTTGATCTGAGGAAGTGGGTCTGGCCCACGAAAGCTCATCATCTAATAAACCATCTTGTTAGTCTTTAAAGTGCTACATAGTCCAAGATTTCATGATCACTTTCATATATAAATATGCATCTGAGGACTGTAACAAAGAGTCAGTGTTCTTAGTTCATATTGTACTGGTATACAAATGAGGAAGGGGGCCTACGTTTCATCATAAACAACATGTTCATGAACATACATCACATCATGCTTTGTTTTTAACTTCAGGAAACAGGCAAGACAAAGAGAACTTGAGTCACAGCAGAATCCTGTGTTTGTTCCTGAGGTGGCTGATAACTCGAGATATGTTTCTCATCCACAATTGTCTCAGGTAAAAGTGAAATATTCGCCACCTACGTTGTGTGACATCCTCCCACTTCAAGTGGAAATCAGATGTGTTTTCAATGTAATGGTGAATAGTACTTATATGTTTTATAGGCCAGCATGTTAAACAATCAAGGATTAAAATCTCAGTTTGTCTTCATTCACCCAGTGCTTGATATTGCCTTGCATCCAATCAGTGCAGATGAGAGGAGGAAATAAGCCAGTATTAAAAGAACAGTGAATACAGGCAAGTGTGTATGGTATGTGTGAACACAGTGCTTGTGAAAAGCAGCTTTGGAGTCTGATGTTCTCAGCTCATTTATGAAACAGGTACTGCGTGGACATCAGTCGTGCTGCTTTCCATACTATGCTCTGCCAGTATACCCCAAAGATGACCTCTAACTAGAGTCAACTCAGGTTGCTAAATGGTCTGCTTTCCAATTCACTTTACTTTTTTGTTTTCCTAACAAACACGAAGATATTTGTATGCTGTGTTGCCATCGTGTTGGTCCCAGTATTTCCATCAAAGGGCATATGGCACACACCTGCGTTGTCATTACAACACATGCAAAGTAAAATTGTTTACCTGCAAATTTAAAAAAACATGTTATATTTTGCATTTACAAAATAGATAGGTTCACAGATTTGATGGGTACATTTAAGGAAACCTTGCAAGGATTTGTTCCATATAATTTCTCTTGAAATATGTATCTAGAGACAACAGCTCAAGCTCTATGGTCATTTTTTTTGTTGTAATGAAGATATATCAGGGCAGATTCTCAGCTGATGTATTCAGCATTAACTGCTTTGAAATTGATGAAGCTATATTAATGTATACTTGCTGAGGATATGGCCCATAGTAAAATAATGCCTTAAAATTTGATACAGTATATTTGGACTAAAGCTGTACATAAGCTATGAATGTAAGCATTTTCTTCCAATTGCATTTTGTTTGCTTTTCGATGTATTCTAGGTGAAGGGCTCAGCTCTGTGTAACACAGCAATAGTGTAGCCCTTCTTTCTCCTGCCATGTATATTGTGAGACATCTCATCTACAGACACTTCTTTGGAGTGCGTTAGTGATTTTGACTAGCCAGCAGAATATGGTGATGCATAATGTAATTTTCAGTTTCTTTGTACTTCATTCTCCAGATGAGCAATCAAGCATATGATAGGACATATGTACCTACAGACTAAGAAGATTTTAAATCACAATTCATAATATAAAATGTAATTAAAATATGCAGCATGTCACTAAATTAGTACTGAGGCTGGAATACTTTAAACAACTGCTTCCAGTTTCATGATTTTATCTTTGGAACAAGGATGAGTCAAATCCTAAATTCACATTGAAGTGAATGTGCAGCAACTTCTTTCTTCATTGGCTAAACTGTACTGAAGCCCAGAAATAACATAAAACTGGCCCAAGGTCAAACTATCAGTCAGTGATGGAGCCAGAAAAGAGCTCTGTCTTCATTCTGAGATATCTCCTTTCAGGATAGTATCTAAATATTTATATGTCATTCACCATCATTGTGTCAAAACACCTCAAAATCATGTTTAATGAACTTTAACTCCCACCTCAGTCACAGATGTTCTTTGTGGTCTTGAGATACTCTCTTAATCTATCCTATTTGATGTGAAGTTTATGAAGGTAAACTCTTGTGTGTGTCAGTCTATAATGCCCTGCTCACTAGCCCATTCTTACTATGCCAATTTCCTGTTCCTGACTCACAACTCTGTTTTCTGAACAGACATGTATTTTGAGTAACAGGGATCACCACTTGTATTGGCCAGTGCCATAAAGAAGAGATGTCTATATAAACTTTAAGGCTGTGTCTAGACTGGCCAGTTTTTCCGGTCTACACTGGCCGCTTGAATTTCCGCAAAAGCACTGACTTCCTACTGTAAGAAATCAGTGCTTTATGCGGAAATACTATGCTGCTCCCATTCGGGCAAAAGTCCCTTTTGTGCAAAACTTTTGCGCAAAAGGGCCAGTGTATACAGCTGAGATTTGTTTTGCACAAAAAAGCCCTGATCGCGAAAATGGTGATCGGGGCTTTTTTGCGCAAAAGCACGTCTAGATTGGCCACGGACACTTTTCCACAAAAAGTGCTTTTTTTGCCAATCTAGACGCTCTTTTCCGAAAATGCTTTTAACGGAAAACTTTTCCATTAAAAGCATTTGCGGAAAATCATGCCAGTCTAGATGTAGCCTAATTGTATGAGATAAGGGAAATATGACTCCTCAAAGAAATAGGAAATCATTCTAATTTCCCTAGTCTCCATTTCTTTTACTTTGACCTGTGCATGCAAGTAATGTCATTTACAAACAGCAAATCGGATTTCCTGAGAAATGAAAGCAGATATCTGCTATGATAAATACATTGGTAAAATATTTTAAATAAAAAATCGTTTATCTTATCACTTAATAGAAGTATATGTGATACAGTTTTAGTTTCACCAGTAGATGGTGGTGGTTAATTTTTTATAGATATTGTTGAATTTGGTACTACCTTTATTTTTTCTTGCTGAAGTAATAAACAACTGAAAAGTATAAGTGATACAAATTAGGGGTACATTTCTGCAGCCCTTACTCACATGTGCAGTCCGAATAAAGATGGATACTCATGTAAGAGCTACGGGTATGTCTACACTACCCCGCTAGTTCGAACTAGCGGGGTAATGTATGCATACTGCACTTGCTAATGAAGCCCGGGATTTGAATTTCCCGGGCTTCATTAGCATAAGCGGGGAGCCGCCATTTTTAAATCCCTGCTGCTTCGAACCCCGTGCAGCGCGGCTACACGGGGCTCAAACTAGGTAGTTCGGACTAGGTTCCTATTCCGAACTACCGTTACTCCTTGTGAATGGCCCTGTGAGTGGCAGAATGGTCCACCACTCCCTCGGCGGGGAATCTAGCTGAAACGTGCCGAGGATCTCTGGGTGGGAGAGGCTGCTCCAGCACCTTCCCTGCTTCCTTTTTTGCTGAATGAAAATGCCACTCTATTTTGTCATTCTCATTTTAGGAGAGGATCTCTCTGCAAAACAAAAATATATGCATATAAAACTTCCAACTTGTCTACAGTTACTTGCACATATTAGACTTCTATCTAACATTCTCTTCCTTCTCTCACCTAAAATATTTGGTGAAAAAGATAAACAATTTTTAAAAAACTGTTTAAATGACCCTTGCTATCGGAGTCAATTTGTTTGTTGTATTTGTCTTTCATTTATATTGGGAGTATATTGGGAGTAAGTGATAACTGTGGAGTTTCACTGCTATAATATTAGTGGGAGAAGAGCATCATGTCCATTGAGCTCCATATTCTTTATGTTAAATTTACACCTATTATAATATGAAAGTATTTATAGTGGCAAGGGTGATTATACTATCCTCACAACAAATACACCAAAATGGAGTTTATAATTGGTAAATAAATTGATAAATCTATACAAGTGTAAACACTAACATTTTAAAATCAAATGCTAGCAAGCTGTGTTGATGAGTTACTTTCGTGAATATAATGCAATTTTCTTGCTGGGTAAAGCCTTCACTTCTTATCTTTCTTATACAGGATAACTGGACCACAGATAATATTAAAATGCCAAAAGCTCAACTGAAAAACCAAAGTTTTGTCCAACCAGGTGAAGTAGGAAGCTCCAGGTATGCTGTTGGATCTTCTTTCCTCGTTTTCTCTCCAGACTTGGTCTTTGGCTTAAAATCACTATATGATTTTATCAATGGTGTAGCAACTGCCATCAAATCATTAGTCCATCTTGTCCAAGGGTATGCAATAATGTTTGATGGGAGGCCACTCCAAGATTTTGGAACATTGTCAAGGGCTGCACTCTTCCATGATATTAATAGAGGAGGTACAGGATCTGGGATGGAGGTTGAGTGCAGAAGGAAGCTTGGGGTAAGGGATTGGGATGCAGGAGGGTGTGTAGGGTCTGGGAGGGAGTTTGGATGAAGGAGGCCGTTAAGACATAGGCCACAGGACTGGGGTGCAGGAGGAGGTACAGGGGTTTTGGCTGTGGATTGGGATGTAGGGTGTGATGGCATGAGCTACATCACACCCGTGCTGACCTCACTATATTACCCAACGACTGTCAGGAGCCCCTTTTAAGGTCCGCAGTGGTCCCCTGTTTATTGACATAGATCGCTACACATTCCTGGGTCAATACATCTTGCCCGGTAAGATCGGCCAAGCCCAATACCTCCCCAATACCTCCCCAATACCTCGGCACGAGCCCAATACCTCCCCCTAATGCAACACGCAATGAGGGAAGGGGAACCTGGGCCCGCCCTCACTCCAGGTCCTGACCCAGGGCCCTAAAGGTGGGGAAATCCCTCCCCGGGTTGGTTGGTGGGGCATTACCCTTAAACGCACCAACCCTCAGGTGTCCACTCAGCCCTACCCTGGGTCTCTTCCTTCCCCCATGCCCTCATGAGGCACTGCTCATCTGCCCATCTGACAGTTTAGCTTTCCTCTCCCCTTCTTCCTCAGCCTCTCTCCCTGTAATATCCCGCCTCCCACACACCTTCATCCTTGCACCTGTGTCCACTGTGGGCGTGCCCGCTGACGCGGGAGCATCCCTGCTACCCAACAGGCCCCATCCACTCCTAGGGCCACTGCCGTTCCTTCCCGCTGGTGCTGAGGTGTTCTGCACGTGTGCCGCTGGAGGGATACTCCCCTGCAGCCCCTTCCTCCTCCACAAGAGGAAGCCGTCCTCTTTCTGGGCCGGTGCAGTGCCTGGCGCCCACTTCTTCTGCTGCCTCTCCCTTTGGAGCTAAAGTAGCAGCCTCTCCCTGCAGCTTCCAGAAGTTTGCCTCTGCCATTGTGCCTCCCGCTATAGACCCCCCCCAACGCCATGGGTGCTTCAGGACTAAAGCATCCATGGAAAAAAATTAGCTTTCACAATCAGCTAGCTCTTCCCCTCTTTGTTTTCCAACTGTTAGCAGCCTCACCAACCAACTCCTCTCCCTTCTTCCCTCATCCAGCAGGAGGAATGGGGATGTAGAGGAGGGAAAAGGCAGGGCAAGGGTGATGACTTAAGGGAAGGTGTGAAGTGGGGGCAGGGCCTGGGGTGAAGCAGGGGAGGGAAGAGGCAGGATGGACATGGGGATTTTGGGAAAAGGGTCAGGTGGGGGCAGGGTCTTGGGCAGAGCACTGAGTTGAACACCACAGGGGCCCAGAGGAAGCCAGCGCCTATGTCTCCCACTCTCGATAGGCACCAGTCATCTCTCACAGAAGCCCCTATGCTACCAGCCCGCCACAGGGCACAAGCTCCAAGCTTCCCTACCTATCGCAGTCTGGTAGGTTAAGAAGGGGAGATCAGGAGGTTTCTGTGAGCAGCACTTTAACTGTAAAAGAGTTACAGCTCAGTTTGGCCACCCCGATATATATTATGGTAGTAGTATCCACAGGCCAAAATTGAAATTGGAGCCTCATTGTGATAGGTACCACATAATGATGGTCTCTGCTCCAAAGAGTTTACGTCAAAGGGAACTACTTACATCCATAAATGTACTTATATACTTATGTGTTGGCAGGAATGGGGCCTAAGAATAAAATGAAATGCTAAAAATAAAAAAGGTTATGGTGATTGCTTTAATTCAATACACACAAATGTTGATATAGACACAGAAAATATGTTTAAATTCTTTTCATTTTATTCTGATAGCTATATACCACATCAGCCATCAGGAAGACCAGTGCCAACAGCAGATAGTTATTTTGGCTTCCAATCTCATCAGCATAACCAGAACAGTCATTTTCCTGATGTGGATTATGAAGAGAATGGCCCCACTCCAGTTCTACCTGGGAGGCAATTTCCTGTATGTATAAACTATCTTAAGCACACATAAAAGGTGTCTTATACAATCTACTGACACTTGAGAACAAGGTGTCAGACATTTTATGTGGCTAGTCTTGCATTCATTTGAAAAATGTTCTCTGTGTTAAAGGCTTACATCTCTAACTTCTGGGTTTTATCTTGGAAATCTCATACCGCTGTTCAATTTTGGCTATATTGTGCAAGCTTCATTTTAAGACATTCATCCTTGTGTGAATCTTCTACATATAGGTAAATTTCACCTATTGATGAAGTCAGTGGGACTATTCATCATATGAGAAGTAGGTAATAAAGTGAGTAATGATTGAACAATCCAGCCTTCTGATAGGGAATCTAGAAGACTAAAAGCAATGAAGCAATATTCATCTGCTGCTATGGAAACGATTAACATTCTACACTAATTCCATGTTGCTGATACTCTAAAATGAGGGGGATTTTTAAAATTGATTGTGAAACACAAATGCCTAACAAGCTATGTGCACCTGATTCACCAATGAGTCATAATTATTCTGAGTCAGCATAATTTATTGATTTGGTTGGAGTTACACCATTATAAAACTGGATTCATGTAGTGACATTGATTCCAGAGTCACGCTGAAATCTGATAGTGAGGTACAAACCTAAAACGGGTTCTGTAGACGTAAAGCTTTTAGTATAACTATGGTACATGGACCAACTTCCACACTGATTTATTATTTACTGTTTAACTAAATTTCCCTTGAAGAGTCAAATGTATACGTTCGCTTTCACTTTCTATACTAAAATGTTGAGTTGTTATGCATCTGTTAAACAGCTAACAAGAACAAGTGCAGAACAAGGGTAAGCGCAGAATCCTGCACTTGGGATGGAAGAATCCCAAGCACTGTTACAGGCTGGGGACTAACTGGCTAAACAGAAGTT